TTTTTGATTAATGACAGTTGACCATATAATGTGTTGACCGTATAATGTGATTAGATGTTATTATTGTTGTTACATTTAATTTTTTTTTTTGAAAATAAAAAATATATCTATATCTATATATATATAATTACTAGCTCAGAACATTTAATAAAACCTATTTAATTTTACCTATGTGGCAATTTAACAATTTTCTCTCCAAAAACCGTTACATTTTGATGTATTTAATTTTTCATTTAATCATTAAATAATGAATACTCATCACTTTAAAATTACAAAAATTATTTTAAACTTTTGATTAATGACAGTTGACCATATAATGTGTTGACCGTACAATGTGATTAGATGTTATTATTGTTGTTACATTTAATTTTTTTTTTTGAAAATAAAAAATATATCTATATATATATAATTACTAGCTCAAAACATTTAATAAAACCTATTTAATTTTTACCTATGTGGCAATTTAACAATTTTTTCTCCAAAAACCGTTACATTTTGATGTATTTAATCTTTCATTTAATCATTAAATAATTAATACTCATCACTTTAAAATTACAAAAATTATTTTAAATTTTTGATTAATGACAGTTGACCATATAATGTGTTGACCGTATAATGTGATTAGATGTTATTATTGTTGTTACATTTAATTTTTTTTTTTGAAAATAAAAATATATTTGAAATTTTTAAATAAATAATAAATAATTCACAAATAAAAGACGTACCAAAATAAACATTACATCCAATTAGATTAACGTAATTTTAAAAAAAATATTCCAACTCTTTTAAGTAAATTGGTCTGCAAAAAAGTGAAAGAAAAATAATTAATCATTATATGCATACAGACTCACAATAATTTATTTATATCTGTGCAAATGCACAGGTCGTATACTAGTTACATGTATTAGTGGACTCCTTTATCATATATTGATTTAAGAAGACAAAATTTCAATTATGGTTATCTAAATTAAGATTATTGTCCAAAATTAGTACGCTAATCTTTCCCTTATAAAAAATAATCTGTTAAGACTCGATTTTTTTTTTTTTTTCGGTATAGCAGCAGAGATAGCTGCTAGATAAAATTTGAAGGTTGCCTTAGTAGCATGTTAGATCACAAAGGACGGGGTAATTTTGGATCTCCATATTTTTTTCATTAAATTATTTCAAGTTTAATTTTAGTATGTTTAGTTGCAATTTTATCAATTTGATCCACTCATTAGAAGAAATTCTACATTTTGTGAATATTTACATTTGTAGGAATTAATTTTATTATTAATTTGTTAAGTAACAATGACCTGTTTATATATAAAAACAAAAAAAGGTATATTTAGCATCATTTACTCTTGATGATTCATCCCAATTTAATTTGCAATAATGATAAATTTTATTTCAATGAAATAAAATGAATGGAGCATAACTAATTATCATTCTTTTCAGCAATAAAGTTTATATGAAATGGAATAAATTTCGGGCTGGTATATACAACTCATGCGAGGTTTTCATTTTTATTTTTTTTTTTTCCTTTTTTTGTTTTTTGGTAAATGTTGAATGTGAGGACTGTTTACAGCACTAAAGAAACACATGGAAAGGGTAGGTAATTAAGGTTCGTGCCATTTAATTCCTTGTACGAAATCACAGATATGGAAAGGGATTATTGGATGAAAAAATGAATGAAGTGAGGTTTGAAAAGACAAGTCAAATGTCAAATCTTTCGAAACCTAAATCATAAGACTGTAAGTGATTGGGCTGTCCATCCAATGGTGATCGCCGATGAGACATTTTTTCTGTTAAAATTATCATTTTGTCTTTTAATTTTACGGACTTTTCCTGTTGACTTTGTTTATTTTTACCCTTTAATTTGTAGGTGTTATTAGGTAATTATTTATTTAACTAAATTTACTAATTCAGGAAAAAACATTTCTATCTGCTCTTACCTAATTGTTTTACTATTGGATCAAATATACATCCGTGCGTGGGAGTGCATGTGAGTGTGATTGATCAAGCGGTAAATTAAAGATTCAGTAAAAAACATTGTCCTCATAGGTAGAATTGAAAATTTTCACATTTGTTAATGTAAGAGTAATTTTGCATACATGTAACTTTTGATGTTTTAATTTTGGTTCCTCACTAGCATTGAGGAAGGGGAAAATCAGAGTTGACAAGTCTTTATTTGTCACATATATGAGATTTGGTCATATAAAAACCTGCTTTTTGCAAAAGGTTATAATAATAATTAAGAGTACTATCTGTGAGTATTTACCTAATGAGTTATTTCAAGTCATAAACAAAGGGTACTATTTAACAGTGCCCTTAATACCATCATCAGTGAAGTACTAAATAGTTTCACTGTTTTTACCTTCCCACTGGCACTCTTTCAAGTGAAATAATTCTAATCTAAAATTAAGACCATCCTTTCTGCCTTTGGCAGGCCACCAGTTAAGTATTCATAAAAAAATAGTGAAAAAATTAGTTATGTTGTTTTTGAATTTCTACTATTTTTCTTTTGCTATTATGTATTTTTCATTTCCCCATAATACATTGGTTGTTAAAGCCTCCTTAATTCACTGATTGTCACTAGAATCTTGTGTGTCAATTACAGAATAAAATCAACCATAACTTAACTATTATTATTATTTATTAATTAGGTAAATATTTGATATATGAACAGAAAAAATTATTATAATACATGAAAAACAATTTTATTGTGTATAATGCCATTTTAAATAATTTGAAATGGAATTTTGAAAAACAGTTCGAAAATTTAAGATAAATATTTAATAAATAAATAAAATAAAATAAAAATGAAGCCCTTAATCTGTCTAATCAAAATCCCCACACACGAAAAGACGTACACACATCATTTCTTCTTCTTTTCCCTCCTCCCCACCCCTTTTTATCTGTCTCATCAATCAATCCCACGAACAAAACAACTAATAATAATAAGTTAATCCAACCAGCAAAAATGGCGAGCTCCATTGACGACTCACTAAGGTCCCTCTCCCTCGACTACCTCAACCTTCTCATAAACGGCCAGGCCTTTAGTGACGTCACCTTCAGCGTCGACGGCCGTCTGGTCCACGCACACCGCTGCATCCTCGCCGCCCGCAGCCCCTTCTTCCGCCGCTTCTTCTGCAGCGGCGGCGGCGGCGGCGACATCGACCCGCAGCCGCCGCGCGGCGCCGTCCACGTGGCCTCCGTCGGGTACGACGTCTTCCTCCTCGTCCTCCAGTTCCTCTACAGCGGCCACGCCTCCCTAGTGCCCCACCGCCTCGAGCCGGCCGCCGCCGCCTGCGGGGACAGGGCGTGCGGCCACGAACACTGCGCCGCCGCCGTAGATCTCGCCCTTGAGACGCTCGCCGCGGCCAGATCCTTCGGCGTCGAGCAGCTTGCTTTGTTCACTCAGGTTCTTTAACTTCTTGCCAATTTTTTTTCTTTGATATAATTTTTTCTGTGTGTAATATATCAATAAGAAAAATATAATATTACGAACTGTTAAACAACTAAATAATTGAATCTAGGAGAAGTGCTCCCTAATGTATGCATTTTCTCTCTTTTTTTAAACTATATTTTTTTATATTATTCATCTCCATAGAACGGTTAGGTTTTACGTTGGCTCGCCAAGCCTAGCCTATCACAACCCTCCTCCTTTACCAAGGTTTGGGACCTGCTACGTTGAGACAACATAGATGGAGTTATTTTTCTTTATATTATATTAGAATTTTTTGTATGTGATTTGAAATTCATTTTTCTTCTATGTTTTCGGCAAATTCATGTATATATAATATATCATCAATATTGTTTTTGAATTGAGGTTGATTTAAAGACATGCTTTATTATTTTGGATCCATATATGATATATAGTGGAATCTTTCCTAGATTGGCCTTTGTTCTTTGTCTTCCAAACGATAATCCCTCAAAAACAAACTCCAAGAACATTCATCATATGCATTTCAATGCAAATCTAACCTCAACATAAATATACTTGCAAGCCAACCTTGTAAATATGCAATAATTACCACCATTGAGGGTATACATGCCTCCTTTACTAGTAGTAGTATGTAGCATTGTTTTGTAATTTCACAGTATACATTCTTCTAAAATGATACATATCGACAATTTTCAATTCGAGCCACTCAAGGTTCTGCCTCTTATGACTTTGGCCCTCCAGCTTACCACTCGAGATTCTGTCTCTTATGACTTAGGCCCTCAACCTAATTAACCAATTCTGTCGCGTGTTGCAGAAACAACTGGCGAGCATGGTGGAGAAGGCGTCTATCGAGAACGTGATGAAAGTCCTAATCGCGTCTAGCCACCAAGAAACGAACCAACTATGGACCACTTGCTCCCACCTAGTCGCCAAATCCGGCCTCCCGCCCCAAACCCTAGCCAAACACCTGCCGGTCGACCTCGTCGCCAGAATCGAGAATCTCCGCCTCAAATCCTCCCTCCCCCGCCACCTCCACCACCACCACCACCACCACCAGTCGAGTAGTGGCGGCACCGACGAGAAGCTCCACCGAATGCGACGTGCCCTCGACTCGGCCAACGTCGAGCTCGTCAGGCTCATGGTCATGGCCGAGGGCCTCGACCTCGACCGCTCCCTGGCCCTTCACTACGCAGTCGAGAACTGCAGTCGGGAGGTCGTCAAGGCCCTTCTCGAGCTCGGCCCGGCCGACGTGAACCTCCCCGCGGGGCCCGGGGGCCGGACGCCGCTCCACGTGGCGGCCGAGATGGTGTCGCCGGAGATGGTGGCGGTGCTGCTCGACCACCACGCGGACCCCAACCGGAGGGCGGCCGACGGGACGAGCCCGCTCGACGTGCTCCGGGCACTCACGTCGGATTTCCTTTTCCGGGGGGCCGGGGGAGGTGGGCCGGCGTCACGCGTGGAACCGAATAGGCTCCGGCTTTGTCTCGAGCTGGTGCAGTCGGCCGCCTCAGTTATTTCGAGGGAGGAGGGGAAAGAGGGTGTCGAGGAGCCAGTGAACCGTCGTGGAGGTGGTTCAGTGTACTCCCGTGATCGGTATTGTTGACTCGAATGGACATATACTTTTCTATTGAGTCTACTATAAAAAAAAAAGATGTGAACAATGTTACAAGAAGTTGTTGGATTTGTCTATGTCGCGTTTGGGGTCATTGATATCGTAAAGGGATTATTGAGACATGCACTTAGTTAGTTAATTGGTTTCATGACTTAACACATGGGTTTTTCACCTTTGGTGTAAGTATTTGTCTATATTATATATATACTGTGAAAAATAAAGTATGCGCATTAGAATCAAGTTGATTATACTAACGAAAAAATTTGATTCTATGAGAGAATATTTTTTTTATCGAGTATTTTTTAGTGGTATCACACACACCCGGCCACATGGGTACAAAAGGTACAAATTTTCTGTACTTATGGCGCGCAGTGTTCCTAAATACAAGAGTGTTAGTAAGGGAAAGCAAAGTCGAGACGTACAACAATAATAATAAATGGACAAAAAATTATGGGGATAGTACAGTTTTTTGTTTTGTTTAAGTAAAAGACTTTGGCATATGTTAATTTCAAGCAACGGCTGAAAATATTCCATGTTCAACCTTCTTATGTCAAATTTCAGTGTCACTATATTTATCCTCCTGCCATGGTATACATTGCTTATCTGAACTCAATTTGTCCCATAATGAATGTGTAATCTATGACTGTTTTTAATAAAACGTTTTACTATTATCTATATGATACTAAGTCTAAATCTAACTAATTACTTTATCAGTAAAAAAATAGTTAAATATTATATCTCCAACATTAGCATGGAGAATATTCGTTGCAGATGTGACATGTACCCAAAATTCACTATACCCTTAAATTGTCTATAACCGAGTGAGATCACAAACAAATTAGGTGGACTAATTCTTATCTCTCTACTTTCATCAAAACAGAAAATTTCCACTTAATATGGCAGCATATACTATTAAGTCTGTTAGTAAGTACAAATACTTTCACTAAGGTTTTTTTTTTTTATTATTATTTATTTTTTATGTTTTATTTAAGACACCCTAGTGTTAATTTGGGCATTCACCTTGTTTTCATTTGATTGGACAAAATATTTATGACACAAATTTTCTTTGTTTTCTGCAGCCCTTTGCACTATGCTGGTGCTTGCCCTGTGAGGTTGCCTAAGATTTGATGATACCATCATCAAGTAAGCAAGACTAACTAGAGAGAACAATTTGTAAATAAACAAAACGTATGGGGCAATTTCGCAAATATCGAATGCTCTTTGAATTGAAAGGTTAAATTGGTTGTGCAAAAGAAGAAAAAATTGAACTCAAATCATACATTAAAGCTCCCCACAAAATGTCGAAACATACGGTTATGAGCAGGCGAACCCGATATCAGCTCCTATACCACACAAGCAAGCGTGTATAGCATTACAGTACAACACGATAAACATTCTTATACATAGCAAATGTGCAAAGTCCGTTTTCCTCTAAAACCGGCACTCCCTAGATGCCCAGCCTGTTTCGTACCTCCCAAAGGAGTAAGCTGTGGAAGGAACTTCAACGAGATGCAAAGGATCGGGTTCAATGCCGTAATCGGTCAAGGGTCGATGTTCGAGAATATCGTCATGCTCTTGAACAAATTCTGGAATTTCAACTTCTCCCTGCTTTACGTCTTGCCAGAGGTATTGAAGCCGGCTCACGTACTTGATTTTCCAGTATAATCTATAAATATAATGGTCACTATATACAGATCAAATCCAATATTTGTACTTTTACACTTTCAACAGATTAGAAAATGAAACAGCGGCGTTTTTTTAAGAATTAAGAGGTCAGGCGAATTGATCACTGAGAAACACAATAGCGAACCAAGAACAGATTTAAGAGCAAACAATGATGTGATTCTAAACTATGCTACGGCCACCTTTCAGACGACAATGGACAAAAGCTTCTCGCAACAAAGAACTTTCATTTCTTACAAGCGCATGTTCTTCAATTTGCCTTAAAGACGAAATTCAAGAACTTTGGGCCTAAAAGTCCATCCCCCATTTCAAGATTGTATCGAGAAACTATACAGCAAACTAAGGTGCCCAGCAAGAAATATACGAATAAACAACTCACCCTCCACTCAAGAGGAATCGCCCAAGAGTGGCGAAAACAAGCCTAGACCGAATTCCAGGATGAATGAAGTAGACAACCTGAAGCCTGTCTTTGCAGTCACCGGGCAATTCTTCATATATCCATCTGAGAATCGTAAGGCCGGGCGAGTTATCGTCCTTCTGAACTGTACTGTGCATGTACACTATGCAGAACTTGCCGTCCGGCATCTCGGTCAAGATCTTATGGAACACGTATTTTTTCAGCCTTTCCTCAGTTACTACAGGAGCTGGATTTCACATAACAAGGTTATGAGTTAAATCAATCTCACAGTAATAACCAACCTTCTAGTCTTCTACAGAACCATTTAGGCTCTGTAAACACAATTACTGTGTAATAAGGCACAAAAATAACATAAGCTGATAAAAATCGAGTATTTTGAAGAAGAAAAATGGAACCCTAATTGAACCAGAAGCCTGACAATCAAAATTTACAAGCAAAAATCCACATCTCCTTTTTTACCAATCGATAAATGCTATGAATATGAACAGTATCTCTTCCAACAACGAACAGAAAAAGGTACGAATTAGTGAGGATTACCGGGAAAATACTTGCCGACGACGCGGAAGATCCGATTGCCGGACTTATCGGAGCCGCGGTCGAGGCGGAAAAACTGGAGGGCCTCGAGATCGGAGAAGTCAAGGTTCTCGTCATCGGCCGAGGGGAGATACGAAGGGCAGTCGTGCCAATTTTCCTCCTCCGGCGGCGGCGGGTGGGTGAGGAACGGCCGGGCGTCGATGCCCAGATCGGAGGCCAAAACCACCACTGAGAAATCTTCCGGCGATGAGCTCCCCATTTGGCTCTCTCTCTCTCTCTCTCTCTCTCTCCCTCTCTCCCTCTCGTTGGGACTTCTTACTTCAGAATGGGGCAAAAGGACCGGGTCGGGTTGAAATTTCTATTGGATCTGGATCAGGATTTGAAAGCCACAAGCCCAGCCCACATATGAATGAAATTGGAGCCCATCATCACGGAGTGGCTAGTGTGTGCAAGATTTTTTTAACTAACAATATTAGACGAAATTTTAATCTACTAGTTTAAAAAATAATAATTATTAAATATTTTATAGAATTATAAAATTGTTGTAATGTTTGTCTGATTTGATTACTTTAAGTGAAATAATGATTATTGAGATGAATGGATTGTGCATTTATAAAGGAAAAAAAAATGCACATTAACCAAACGCTTGAATTATCATAGGTTTCTAAAGATGTATTATAATTATTTTTAACTATCTTATTTCTTTCTAAATTTTAATAAAAAAATAGTTGAACATAAATAAATATTTTTATTCAATTTTCTATAGGTCAACTCATTAATGTTTGAATTTAACTTATTAATATTGGTAAAACTTACCTATAAGCATACATGCATAATATGAAACACCTGCTTGTAAAATTGAAAATATAATATGAAGAACAAATTCTCACTAAGTAACCCAACCAAATCAAGAACAACTAACACTAAACATAATATGAAGAACAAATTCTCACTAAGTAACCCTACCAAATCAAGAGCAACTCTCACTAAACAAATTCTCACCAAGTAACCCTACCAAATCAAGAACTCTCAGAAGAGAGTGGATATTTAGGCTGCTTGTTAGCAAGAAACAATCCCCAATGCTTCTCTAGCTCGGGGCTCTTTTGATCCTCATCAATCAAATCAAATATGTAAGTCTCTATAGCTACCCCGGGCTTCCTTGGAGTCCCATTCTCAACACACTCCACCAAATTCGAGTTATACGTACACGCGTTCTCGACACTTGTCGCGGTCCCGCCTGCCGTCGGCCAGCCAGTTTCTGACACCACAATTTCCAAATTTGCCCCTCCCACCTTCTCCAAGGCCGCGCGAACCGCGTCTACCATAGCGTCAAACAAGTTCCAATACTCGTACGGCCCGTCTTTTATTACAACCGATGTAGACGTGAAGAGCGCGTATTCGAGAGAGATATCCTCCGTGTTGCCGACGTACGCAAAGTACGGGTACACGTTCATGAGCAACGGGCTTTGTGTGGCGACTAGGAATTCGATAATCGGGTCGATGAATCCTGGCCGGACTTCTGCCCGGAATTCCCCGGCAGACGGCGGGTAGGATTGCCCAAGCACTTGCATGCTTAGGGAAGTCGAGACCTTGACTCTCGAGTCGAGCCCTACCGATGTTAGCTCGTCGTGGATGTTTTTCATGGCTGGGGCTACGTGAGGGGCGATTTCGGCAGTTGCGGGGTCCGAAGGGCTAATCTCGTTCCCGACGGCAATGTACCGGAAGTTGACGCCCGGGTAATTGAGGATGTTGGCCTCGACCCACGACTTGGCGAGAGGGGCGTTTTGAGAAATGCCGATTATTTCCTCGTTCGGGACGCCTACCGTGACCGAGATGTCTCTGTGGCCTTGTAGGGCCGTGAGGATAGACGGGTTAGGGTTGTAGAGACGGAGGTTTCGGATGTTGTTTTGTTGGCAAAGCTCGATAACCTCGTTCGGTGGCGGTAGGTCGTCGCCGAGGGTGCCGTAGCAAGCTCCTATATCGGCATCTGCAACAACGAAAAAGTTGAAATTCAGATTTTTTTTTTTTCGAAATGATAGATATATTAATATGAGAAATAATTATTTATTAGACAAATGATTAGTGAAGCTAATACAGTTGAATCAATCAAGTTAATGGAAATGAAGAATTCCGATCGAAAAAGAACTTTGGCCTAAAACCTAAACCCTAGACTAGAAAAAACACACACGCAAAAAACAACTATAAAATTCATATGGGAAACTCAAAATATTCTTATGATGGAGATTAAGAATTCCAAAAGATGGAGACTAACTAGACTAGAAAGTTATTTAGTATTGCAATCTTTTTGTTAACACGATAGTTGCAAAACGAAATAATTATAAAGAAACGTTTTGTTAATACGATAGTTGCAAAAAGAAATAATAGAGACGTTATAAAGAAACGAACCTGCCGTGCGCAAGGTAATCACAATGACAACAATTAGCAGACTTTTCACCATCTGTGCAACCTTGAAATACGCCATTGGAGTTGTTAATAATTCCAATGGCGCAATATGGGTATGTTGTGTACAATTTCAATCAATGTTATGCCTCCTTTTATATTAAAATGGTTGATAAAAACACGCAACTGTTAGATTTGCCATAAAATGTTTGATAAAATTAAAACACGTAAGTGTTAGATTTGCCCTATCTAGGTGCAGAATATTCTCCATTTTTATTTAGTTCGATTTTGCTATAAAATTTATTTGCTATTGAGAATTTAGGCAAACATATATTTTAATTGTGATTAAATTAGGAAAAATCTATATGATTGTATTAAGTAATATTCGCTAACAAACATGTTTTCAAATACTTTGTTTACTTTCCAAAATAATTTATTTACTTCCCAATTCTCGTAACTGAAAATATATTTTTTGAACATTTTGATTGTTATTTTAATTTGTAACCATGTTATTCAATTGTGTAGCTATATATTGTACTAGTACAACACCAGTGTATGATCCGCGTGCTTGTTAAAAAGATTTATTCTTAAATTTTAAAATTAATGAAAAAATATATTTCAAAATTTTAATGCTTTTTTACAAAAAATATATATTATTAAATATTTTATTTTCTAGTTAATGTTAACAAGTAATTTTATAATTATTATAAAGATAAATATAATTTATATATAAAATATGAATGTCAAATCGAAGATTATCAAATGACTATTAATTTGATATGTAATATAGATAAAAAAAAAATACAAAGTTATTAACTTTTAAATTACATTTACAATTCAATGCACTCCAAAAAAATTATTATATTCTAATGGAAAATCGTATGAAAATATATTCCAATGAAAAATCCAACGGAATGCATGCAGTATAGTTTTCGTTGGAATAATTTCAACGGAAATTCCAACGAAAATATTCTGTTGGAATGAATTTTCTATTAGAATTTTAGATGGAATTTGGTGATACGGTTTTTTACTGTAGGAATTTATGTTAGAATTATTATTTTTACCCCCGTTGAAAAATCTACCGTTGGAATCGTTAAAATACAATAAAAATTCCAATGAAAAAACTTATTCCAGCGAAAGATTTTTGTTAGATTTCATTGGAAAATTCCAACAGAAATAATAGCATTGGAATATCCATTGGAATTGTCGTTGGAATTCCATTGGAATATATTTCCGTTGAAATTTTTCATTGAAATTTCATCATTTTTTTGTGATTGTTATAATAGGAAATGATATTAAAATTCAATTAATGCATGTAAAATGATCATAAATAATCAATATATTTATGGATAATTCGGACTTAATTATTTTTGAAATGTAAGTAAAGTAAAATATATCCAAGCTAAATAATGAAGCATGAGATTTCGCCACATAGGATTCGAAACATGTGAGTCTGCTATATATATAAGGGGGATATAGATTCTTTAACCTAATTTCACAACCATATATGTTATAAGATGATGGAAAGCATTAGAATACTTTTAACACTACAAAAATAAATGTCATATTCCAACAGAAAATCCTACGATAATATGATCCAACGAAAATTTCAACGGATATTCTAATGGTATAGCTTCCGTTGGAATGATTCCAACGGAAATTCTAACAAAAATATTTCGTTGGAATGAATTTTTCATTGGAATTTTAGATGGAATTTGATGATTCCAACGGCTATTTTTCCAACGGTTTTTTACCGTAGGAATTTCCGTTGGACTATGCAATTTCCGTTGAATTTTTATTTACACCTTCGTTGGAAAATCTACTGTTGGAATCTTCAAAATCCAACGGAAATTCCAATGAAAAACTCATTCCAAAAGAATATTTTTGTTGAAATTTCCGTCGGAATTCCATTTAAATATATTTGTATTGAAATTTTTCGTTGGAATTTGATCATTTTGTTGTACTGTAATAACCCATATATACAATATACTTGCTTATGCTACATTAAGATTTCATATTCTAAAATTATATCCAATTCATATTTTATTCTATACATGTCTAGACGTTATAACTTCAAGTTCATATGATTTGACCCAAATTTCACTAGATTGAGAAATGAGAATGATTCCAGTTAGAAAATTAAGGGAAGAGACATTCGACTTGATCTGGACCAAAGTATATAAGGAGGTTCAAAAGATATTATGAACTGAGAGTTGAATAAAAGAAAGTTTATAAATATTGAAGTTTGAAGCTATTTATGAACTGAAAGTTGAATAAAAGCTAGTCGAATATACAAAATTGTCTCAATTCAAGAATCCATACAAATATACCTGAACGTATAAAATGGTTCATTTCGGTTTGGAAGTCCGAGATAATAATTATACAATTATTTTTTTTTGAATGAAAGTTATGTTTAATATAAGTAATTTTAAATTTTAGTTAACATTAAATTTGTAAAACTAATGATGGAAATTTGAAATCCAAACAAAATATAGTAAAATAAAAGCATTCTTTTAACTTTTCTGACCATTTTAATTATAAGAAGAAATGAGACTAAGAAAAGTATTACAAATATAATATATTAATTGTAGATCAAGAGTATATTATTAAGTATAAAATTGGCTATTACTGCATGTTATCAAGTATTTTAAAAATGATCAAATTAAATATGATTAATGTTGACATAAAGTATATGAGAAAAAAAAAAAAGCATATATAATGTTATAATTGGGCTATTGATTTCGGATACCTGATTCGGTACGGTATGAGATTGTTTGGCAAATTATATTTTTATCGAGTACCTAATCGAAGGATTCGCTCCCCTGGTCGATCTCTCGAGGAAGGCGGTTTGGAATCTAGGAATGAAATAACAAAAAAAAAAAA